AAATGCTTTGTAATTAATCTTACCACTGACAGGATTGTTTTGTAGGGAAAAAGAGTTAACAATATTTACATTGTAAATTTGTCCACTCTTTCAGAAAATGAATTCACTTGCTTGAGTGTGTTGGACAATGATCCCCTCCTGTGGCACAAAAGACTTGGTCATGCAAGTCTGAATCAACTCAACAAATTAGTCTCCAAGGACCTGGTGATAGGGCTACCTAATATCAAGTTCAAGGAAGACAAAGTTTGTGAGGCCTGTGCAAGGGGGAAGCAGGTAAGATCATCCTTTAAAAGCAAGAAAATGGTAAGCACAACCAGGACGATGGAACTGGTTCATATGGATCTTTGTGGTCCAATGAGAACATTGAGCAAAAGTGGTAAGAAATATGTGTTGGTACTTGTTGATGATTATTCTAGGTTTACCTGGGTACTGTTTCTAACATCTAAGGATGAAGCATTTGACATGTTTACTGCCTTTGTTAGAAAAACTCAGAAATAACTAGGTAATCAACTTGCATCAATCAGGTCTGATCATGGAACTGAATTTGAAAATGATAAGTTTGCTAAATTTTGTGATGAGCATGGTATAGATCATAATTTTTCAACCCCTAGGACTCCTCAACAAAATGGAGTAGTTGAAAGGAAGAATAGGACTCTTGAAGATATGGCTAGGACTATACTTCTTTCTAGTAAACTGCCTCATAGCTTCTGGGCAGAGGCTGTAAATACTGCATGTTATATCACTAATAGATGCATGACTAGACCACTTGTAGAGAAGACTCCCTATGAGTTACTTAAAGGGAGAAAACCAAATATATCTCATCTTAGGGCATTTGGATGCAAGTGCTTTGTGCACAATAATAGAAAGGATTTCCTAGGTAAGTTTGATCCCAGAAGTGATGAGGGAGTATTCTTGGAATATTCTTCGCATAGTAAAGCTTATAAACTGTTCAATAAAAGAACTTTATGTGTAAAAGAAAGTGTACATGTAGTTTTTGATGAAACTAACATTTTTTCTGAGAGACGGGAACATAAAAATAAAGTTATTGGGCTAGTAAAAGATTTGAGTGAAGTCTCAGCTCAAGATAAAGTTGCACCAAAAGAAGGAACAGGTGATGGAACATGTTCTTCCATCCAGGCAACCTGATAGGGGGAACTGAACAAAGAGGAACTGAAATCAATCCCCTAAAGGAACTTGTTCGTGACCCTATTCCTCAACAACAGAACATGGGAGAAACATCAAGCAGAAATCAGTTGGTTGTGAAACCTCACAAGTATCAAAGTTCTCATCCCATTGAGAACAAATCATTGATCCAACCTCTGGAGAAAAAACTAGATCACAATTAAAGAATCTGTGTGCTTTTGATGTTTTCCTATCTCTTATTGAACCTAAAAATGTTGTTGAGGCTTTGCAGGATGCAGACTAGGTAAATGCAATGCAAGATGAACTCAATCAGTTTGAGAGAAGTCAAGTTTGGCATCTAGTTCCTAGACTCAAGGACAGATCAGTAATTGGCACTAAATGGGTCTTCAGAAACAAGCTTGATGAAGATGGAACAGTTACAAGAAATAAGGCAAGACTGGTGGTCCAAGATTATAGCCAAGAGGAGGGTATAGATTATGATGAGACATTTGCTCCAATTGCAAAATTGGAGGCAATAAGACTCCTCATAGCTTTTACAGCACACATGGAATTCACTCTCATCAGATGGATGTCAAAAGTACCTTCCTGAATGGCTACCTAAAAGAAGAAGTGTTTGTTAAACAACCTCCAAGGTTTAAGAGCAAGGAGTGTCCGTAACATGTGTACAAATTAGAAGGCTCTATATGGACTCAAGCAGGCCCCTAGAGAATGGTATGAATGCTTGTCCAAATTCCTACTTGAATATGGCTACAAAAGAGGTAAAATTAATAGTACTCTATTCCTGAGGGAAAAAGGTAAGGATCTTCTTGTGCTACAAATATATGTTGATGACATAATTTTTGGGACAACCACTGACAAACTAAGTAAGGATTTTGCCAAATTAATAGGGAGTGAGTTTGAAATGAGTATGATGGGTAAGCTTAACTTTTTCTTAGGCTTACAGATCAAACAAAACTCAAATGGAATCATGATCCATCAGCAGAAATATGCAAAAAGGTTTATCAAAAAGTTTAAATGGATGAATCAAAAGAAATAGACACTCTCATTGCAACAACTACTAAATTAGACATAGATGAATCTGGTTCATCTGTTGATCAGAAGTTGTATAGGGGTATGATTGGTTCACATTTGTATCTTACTGCCAGCAGACCTAACATAGTTTTCAGTGTAGGGCTTTGTGCTCGCTTTCAGGCTAATCCAAATGAATCTCTCTTGACTACTGTCAAGAGGATACTGAGATATTTGAAAGGCACTACTGATTTGTGTCTTTGGTACCCTAAAGGTAGTAATTTCAATCTAGTAAGGTATGTTGATGTTGACTATGCAGGTTTTCTTGTGGATAGGAAAAGCACCTCAGGTATGGCTCATTTTCTTGGTTCATGTCTTGTATCATAGGCCACTAAAAAGTAGAATTCAATGGCTTTGTTCACTGCTGAGGCTGAATATGTTGTTGTTGCCTCTTGTTGTGCTCAATTGTTGTGGATCAAACATCAGCTGATAGATTTCGACATTGAAGTTGGTTGCATTCCTATCTTCTGTGATAACACTAGTGCTATAAGTATGACAAAGAACCTTGTTCATCATAAGAGGACTAAGCACATAGATGGTAGACACCACTTCTTAAGAGATAACTATGAGAAAAGATTGATCACCATAGAATTCTGTGATACTGATAAACAAATTGCTGACATCTTTACTAAAGTAATGAGTAGAGAAAACTTTAAAAGAAATAGGTTGGAATTAAGGATGATTAAGATCACCTAATAGGACCAGCTCAGAATGCACAATGAAAAAAAATTGAAAAAACATTTGGCTAGGAAATCTAAACTTGTGTAAATATCTAGATTAATTTTTACTCAACTTCATACTGTAATTATATACTATTGTGACATGTGTTAATATGACTCACTGATCTCTTACAAAATTTTCTCTATTATTTTTAATTGAGGCATGGTCAAGAGAATTCTAAATGAAGAACCTGGTTCATCAGTATTGGTTCATCTGAATGCTAAGGTATGTTTTCTATCTGCACAATTAGAAATATAAATATTTAAATCATGAGCAGAAGTCCTACAATTGTTCAACTCCTTAGAAAATTCTATCTGTTTGTTTTTTAACCAGTTCCGTCAGCTTTAGAACTCTAAACCACAAAATTTGCCTAAAATCTAGGGAAGTTTAATCGTTCATTCAAACCTGAAATTTCAGGTTGATTAGACCTCTAATTGACCACTGCTAAAGTTGTCATTATACATTAAATGTGTATTTCTCTTTAAATACACATCATTACCTCCTGCCATCTTCATAATTCTAAACCGTCAAAAACCCTTCTTCACTTTCAATTGCTTTCTTCTCCAAAGTTCTAACTCACCAATTCTCTCAAGAAATCAGCGATAATGACAAACCCACAAGACAATCCTGGAACTCCACCACAGCCCACCCTCTGATTCATCTACCTCTCCTACACCTAGCGTGACTCCCAAACCAAGGCTGAGAAGGGTAAAAATGTTGCTCGAAAAAAAGTAGCTTCTAGGGCTCTCTCAAGGAAACTGAATGAGCAATTAAAGGCAAGTCAGGCTCAAGACTCTGATTCTAACTCTGATTCCGAGTCGTACAAAATTGCTAGTGAGGGGGAAGGACCTGGGTCTTCTGACTCTGAGAAGATTCAAGAATCCCCTTCTAAGGTAAGTTCTTCTTTGACTGAGAATTTATAAAATAGGTTTGTTTTGGTTGGGCATATCAGGGATATGGAATTACCCGAGTTAAGACGGAGTGGAGGTAAAAAGAAATTTGAAAAATAAAAAGAGAGAGAGGGTGAATGTGGTGACGAGAGGGCGAAAGGGAAAAGAGTGGTTGATCATTCACCCACTGCTGATTTGTCTGTACCTGCTATTTGTGGGGTGAACAAGAAAATGTTGAAAAGAGTGGCAAGAAGTCAGGGGGGAGTGGTTCTGGTGAAGCTGCTGAAGGGTTAGTTAATCTAAGTGCACAGGGAGATGAACCTTGTTCATCAACTGAAGAGACCCTAGCAGACCTGTGGAAAACGGTAAGGGCAAGTTACGATCTAAAGAAAAGGAGAACTCCCACACCAAAAGCCTCCAGTGCTCCTAAACCATCCAAGAAAAGAAAGGCTTCATCTCCAACAACTACTGAAACTTCCTTGCCAAAGGGAAGAGCCACAAGAAGCAGGGTGAAAAAGAGTGAGAGTGATCTACAAAAAGCTCTGGTTAAAAGTAAGAAGAAAAGGATTGCTAAAGGAAAGGGTAAGGTTGAAGAGTCCTCAGAAGCTGTTGATATTGAGGAGATGGAACAAGTCCATCAGGAGGAAGTTACAACAGTGGAGGTTCAGACCCCCAAGCCCAAAAAGCCCAAGACTTCTTCCAAGAAGTCTTCCTCTATGTATGAGGCTGTTGAACCCTCATTGGCCAAGAGGACAAGGTCTGCAGTGAAAAGTAAACAAGATAGAGTTTCTGAAGAGGAAGAATGGAGTGGTAAAGAAGAAAGTGAGTCTAATGGTGAACAAGACAAGCTGGCCAAGTTTGGCAAGAGAAAAATTTTGAAAGGTAGATTGCTGAAAGACCTGGTGGAACCAGGAATGATGAGACTGGTAGATGCCTTAGCTGCTCAGGGCTGGAAGGACATGGCCTTTCAGATGGATGGAAGGCTATCCAGGAATGAGATCATTGAGTTCACGGCAAATGCAGAGGTTAAGGATGGTAGAGTTAGCAGCCTGGTGAAAGGAGTTCACGTGACCTTTGATGCAAAGAAGCTAGGTGAGATCCTTGAATGATGAAGTATATGTCTATTGGTAAACAAAACATGCATTAAGTTAACAAATTAATAACATAAACTCTACTATTCTAAGATATGTTGGGGGAAGAACCAAAGCCATTTGGTGGTGGTTGAGTTAAACCAAGCACCTCACGCACGACAGCACGAGCCGCAGCTTTTACTTCTTCTCGCATATCTTCCTGAATACCCGCTTGCATATCGGCCTGCATATTCTCCATCCACTGATCCAATGCACGATTAAGAAGTTGCTGAAATTCGGGTGATTCAAACACTTGTTGGGTGGGAATATTTGGAGGATTAGGAGCACTAGAGGATGCACAATTAGCCTTCACTGAATCCGCCAGAAGACAAGTTTTTGGACCAAGTCCATATATTCTTCCTTTTTTTGCTCCTCTAACTGTTTCAATCCAAGTTTTCAGTAGGTTTTCGTCTGGTATACTTTTCAATAAATCCACAACATTGTCTTCGCTAGTTTTTTCTCCTTCCTCATCTTTATTTGTTGTCATGTTTATGTCTATGTCTCCATCATCTATTTCAAAACCTTCTTCATTCCTTGATGTTGAAGTTTCACCTACCTTCTCCTTAATAACCTCTGTAAATGTATTCTGAAAAAAATTATAATTATTAGTTATCACATAGAATATTAAAGTCGCCAAGTAGCAAATCTTAATAGAGCAGTCACATTTGTTCTGCAATGAAAGAAGTGAACAACAGAGAAATAGACTTCTGTAACTAAGAAGTAGATGAAGAAATAGACTTCTCTAATAAGTAGAGATTGAAAAATATATATAGAAACTATTCATTTAATTGTAGATGGCCATCTAATCAATCTTATTTTTATGAGGTGCACCAGAGAAGGTGCTATAAAATTGTTGAATGTTTCTCAAATCTAGAGTGTGCAAAGACTTAGAAGTTTTTCTGCAAAGACTTAGAAGTTTTTCTTATACATCATAGACAAAAAATAGCAGTGTAAGACTTAAAAAGAGGGTGCTTATGATATTCTACCATGATAGCACCCATGAACAACAACTCTAACACTACTCCTGGAGATATATTTTTGGGACAGAAGAGAAGAGTCGCAATAGCATGTCGGCAGCAGCATAATAATAACGCAAACAATAAGAATACAGAATAGACAAAATTATTTACCATTCAGTTTCAGTTAAACCACTTTATCAGTTTGAAAAGCGTAAAATAAACAAATATATAGACAAGTTTTCGATATTTTAAGTTCCAACAGCTTGAGATGATTTTAAAGAGTATCAAACTGGGAAGAAAAGTAAAGTTTTCCCTTCTTTTCTCAAGTTGTCAATAAGTGTAAAATTATTTTCTTAAGAAAGGCTTATCTTATCTGACTCTTATTTCAAATAATTCAGAGAGTAGGGAAGTGCTTGTCAATCATTCCATGTTAAGAGGGTGAGTACTCACTATTTTTAGAGCTTTGGATTCTATTTTTTTTCACTTAAATATTTTGTTTGATATTGTTACACTATGCAGTAGTGCACCATCTTTTTGTTGCTAATCGTTAAAAAAAAACTAGGAAGGCACAATTTGGTTACTTTTGTAATCTAGGTAGACCATGGACAAAAATTGAAGCACCAGATAGTTTGTCAACAATCTACAAGTACATTACAACTTTATCATTGTCTTATATTTTTGTAATATATCCATTTTTCTTCAGTAGCTTTATCTGGCTTCAACACTTCAGACAAGTACTCAGTGCACATAAATTTGGTGAAGAAAAAGTAACTATTGAAAATATTAATCCATTTATTTGTATTTGTAATAATTTTTCAATGGTTAAGGAGAATCTTTAAGGAATTACAGTCTAAAGATAGATACACAGTTGTAAATATAAAAACACTTCCTACATCTGAAAACTTAGTACTTTTGATGTTCCCTAATTTCACTTTCCAGTATCCATTGATGCTATAAATGAATGTCATAGAACTGTAATCTGACTACTACAAAAATATGTACAGACAGTTAACAAAAAGCAGCAATTTTATATGCATCACTCCCTTGTCTCTTTTCGTCAATGCATCTTAATTATCATATTCTATGGATGGAGCTAATCTATGAAGAAAGCTTATCTACTTCATTAGTGTGAAGCAGGTAAAGACTCAGCAGGTGTTGCAATGAAGAATGAGATAAAAACATACCCACATTCTTTCTGACTTTCCACATATCCACTTTTTGTCATTTTTGGTTCTGTGAGTCTTCAGAAACAGTTCATCATTACGAAGATCTTTCCCCGTTAACTCCTTCTACAATCATTAAAGATATTGTTAGTTTGAAGGATAAATCATAAAACAAATTTAGACTAATACTGATAATACTAAAAGAAAGAAATACATGTCTTCTTCTGTACTCGGCAAATGCAACTGATCCTCCAGTATGCAAGGAAGGACCTTCTCCATTATTAGACGACATTCTGTTCTTGGAGTTGATTGTTGATTTTTTTTTAAAAGCGGCAGATTCCCAATATTGCATCAAAGCATCCCAGTGAACTTTAGTAATCCATCCGGGCATTTTCTTTGTTTTTGAAAATTGTCTTTTTGCTTTTCCCAAACTGTCACTTAACCTTTCACTCCCCACATGCTCAAAAGTCCTTCGAATAAAAACTTTGTCCTCGCTAGTAAAGGAATATTTTTTCTGCAATTAGAAAGTAAAGATTATATTTAATATCGTTTATCAAGTTAAGTCAATTAGTAAAGTTAAGTATAAATACCTCGAAGTCATTAAACCATCTGTCTTGTACATGCTCCGGAACTTTGCTCCAACAATTCCATGATCCACTGAAGCTTTTCTTAAAGGCTATTGTTACATCTCGAACAACTTCATGTGGGCAAAATCTACAAAATAATCAATATAAAATTTTATTCAAAGATTATTAAATACAAATATATTTTACCACAACTTATATAATTAGATTTACTTACGTATCTCTGTTTACTTTCAAGGATCTTATGCCACAAATAGTATCTCGTCTTGTCTGTGGATTACAACTTCCATAAGATACAAGTGTTTGTTCAGTTGAAATATCTTGAGGAGTTTCTTGTTGAGGACCAACATTCTGAGAAGAAGGAGGTGCTTGTTGACGACCAATATTCAAAGAAGCAGAATTTGTTGGTTGATTAGGGACATTTTGAGACGTATGTGCAAGCTGCCAAAAACTACTTTCATGAAACGAGTCGATGTGTTGGCTTGAACTGACCTGTTGAGATGTAGGGGTTGATGGTTCACTAATATCTGCCTGAGAAGTGTTCGGTAGTTGTTGGTAGCCTCCTCCCCCTTTATTAGATATGCTCCCACAACCTCCCCAACTACGTTTAGTGCCTCTTCCTCTTGTCATACTTCCTGATCAACATTAACAAGAAGAGTAGAATAATACAACAACCAACTAGAAGAAGTGAAATATGAACAAATTTGACCAACCAATTATTTTGAGCATAATATAAATTTAAATTTATGACTAATTTTAATTCATGACTACTAGGCAATATCAAGAAACTCCAACCAACCCATCCAACCTAGTCACTCTTATAGCAGATGGAATAATTGGATAATTGCATTTAGAGGAGTGCTAAATGACCAAATTTACTTTGACTCCTAATATTATTTAGGGACACATTTCTTAAATACAATAAATATTATGACTTCCTATCAAGTTAAGTTTGAGAATACATGATTGCAATATTAGTTCTTTTATATTTACACAATGTAATGTATACAAGGATTCTTGATTCCATTTGTTATGGAACTTCTATCCCTAGATAATGGGACATAATTCCTAATTTCACTAATCATTAGATATAACTCCCTTAAGACAAGAGGGGTTGCTCTGATGGTAAGCAACCCCCACTTCCAACCGAGAGGTTGTGAGTTCGAGTCTCCCCAAGAGCAAGGTGGGAAGTTCTTGGAGGGAAGGATGTCGAGGGTCTATTTGGAAACAGTCTCTCTACCCAAGGGTAAGGGGTAAGGTCTGCGTACACACTACCCTCCCCAGACCCCACTAAGTGAGATTATACTGGGTTGTTGTTGTTGTTATTATTAGATATAACTCCCTTATGCCTCTAATTATCTGATTAGAGTGATGATATGATTACATATCTCTGCTTATAACTAGACTTCGAAGGTTTACACTGTATTATTTGCTAATTCTTGAACCCTTAAGATTCCCCAACTAGTTTATCTTAGAGGGTTAAGGCTTAAGGGCATCTCATAAGATAGTTTGAAATGAAACCTCAGTAGTTTAGAGAATATAAAAAAGGAGGTCTAGCACTAGAATTTGGCTGGGAGATGGATATCAGAGAAAAAGAGTTTTGGATGTATTCAGTCATGATGATGCATACTCAATACTCAAGAACAGAGGTGCAGAAACATTTCTTATTCAGACATTACTAGAACATGTAGCTATTAACTCCACCATTTATCGGGATAATGAACTATCATAAACTGAGAGGTCATTACAGTTGCTATGGGTCCATAATTTATTATATATTGATGGCTAGGAGTTCATTTGTAATTATATATCTGCTGATAGGATTATTCAACAGTAATAGTCCAAGCTATTTCAGAAACCAACCATCAAAAAATTAAGTTGTATAGTATTGAAATGCAACCTTGAGGTCATGGACAAACAAAACAAAAATTAAGCATGAAAAGCAGCAAAGCTCATAAAGGAAAGGTATGAGCAGAAATTGTTGCAGTAGAAAGCCATCTGCTATACCAGCAATAGCAATAAAAGAAAACACACACAAAAGTTGCAGCAAAAAGCCATCTGCTATACCAACAATCTTATTATCATTCAATATCATCATTTTCACTATAATTTTGCCCAAATTTCATTCACTTTGTTCATCTTCTTCATCTTCATCTTCATCAGATTCTTCTATCTCTTCATCATTTTCAATAGCATCAATATCAAGTGTTCTTTCAGTTTCAGCAGTCTCTTTTTCAATGTCATGTACTTCCAGTTCACCATTTTCATGGCGTAAGCAATCAAGATCATCAATGACATTTGGAAGTACTACGGGTAAATCCTCATCTTCTTGGTACGGGATATTTGGGGAATCAATACGGCTTCTAGCTTTTATTTTGCACACCGCCCACCAATCAACCCTATCTTTTCTTTTGCTGGGATATTCTGCAAAATATACTTGTTGTGCTTGTTCAGCCAACACAAAAGGTTCATAGGCATAGCTCGAGAAACTCTTCTTATGATTGATATCGATTAGACCATATTGATTATGGACTTTCAGTCCTCGACCCACGGTTGGATCAAACCAATCACATTTGAATAACACAAGAGTAGTTCTTTTCTTTGTCGGATTAGAATACTCTAGTTGTATCACGTCAAAGAGTAATCCATAGTAGTCACTTTCATAGTCACTCCAACTTTTTCCTTTGATGCACACGCCACTATTCATAGTTGTTTTGTTAGAGCCATATGTTAGAGTGTCGAACTTATAGCCATTCGTGAAATACTGAGGCCATGTTTCCACCTACTTATAAGGACCAAAAGCTAAGTCTTTCAACCGCTCATCAGTTATGTTATTAGCTGGATTAAGAACCTATTAATAAAAAAAATAGATCAATTGTATGTTTAGTTAAATATAAATTTTAAGTCAAGACAAATAAAGACTACAATTCTTTTATTCAATTATAATTTACTCACATAAGTTTCAAACCACTTGGCAAATCTACTATTTGTCTCTTTATCAATTTGCTCAAGGCTAATATTTTCTGAATTCCTTTTCAATTCATCTTCAAAGATGCTACAAAAGCAATAAAATTATACTAAGTTAGCCCATTTATCCAATATATATGCACTATATTGGTCAAAAATATCAACTTACAGGACGAATTGTTGAACCTCCTCACAATTTAACAAAACATACATTTGTGCCGCATCCCACTCATCATCGGTCAAATATCGACCTTCTTTCCCCCCACTCAAACGTCCTGGATGCAAAAAGATGGACAAACAACCATCAGGTGCATCGACTTCATAACCATCATCATTTCGAGTAACTTTAGTAAGCCTAGTCTGCACGTTAGGCTGGAAATAATGGGAACTCAAAGTTGAAATTTCTTGAATGATATAAGCTTCACATATTGATCCCTCGACACGAGCTCTATTTTTTGCCTTCTTTTTGTAAGTGTGCAACTCCCTACAATTCAAATATATTTTAGTATATTGTTAAGTAAATAAATTAATTATCTAATCAAGATTCAATTGAGACTCTTACCGCTCAAAAGGATACATCCACCGAAACTAAACTGGACCACCGACTATTGCTTCATATGGTAAATGAATCGGCAGATGTTCCATGGGATTAAAGAAACCAGGAGGAAATATTTTCTCTATCTTGCAAATTGTTATCTTTATGTTTTCTTCAAGCTTCTATAAATCTTCTACTTTTAAAACAGTTGCACATAAACCTTTAAAAAATAAGCTAATCTCTGTTAAGGCATTCCAAATTGGCTCTGGCAAAAAATCTCGAAATGCAACTGGTAGCAACCTTTCAAGAAATACATGACAATCGTGGCTCTTCATCCTTGATAATTTATAATCTTCCATGTCTACACATCTAGACAAATTGGAAGCATAACCATCTGGAAACCTTAAGTTTTTCACCCATTCACATACCAACTTTCTTTGTTCTTTTGTCAATGAATATGCTGCCTTTGGCTTCAAAATTTTCCCTTGATACTCCTTCAATTCAAGCTCGGGACGATTGCAATAAGTCTGNGCTCCTTCAATTCAAGCTCGGGATGATTGTAATAAGCCTGCACATCCATTCTAGCTTTTAAATTATCCTCCGTTTTATCTTTTACATCCATTAATGTGTTGAATATATTATCAAACACATTTTTCTCGATATGCATGACATCGAGATTATGCCGAATAATATTTGTGCGCCAATATGGCAATTCCGAGAAAATACTTTGTTTTGTCCAATTATGTTGATCCCCAAATCCTGGCAACTTATCGGAGGCGCGATCATCGAAAATATTTGGTAAGTCACACACTTTGTTCCAAACTTCTTCACTAGACAACCTAGGAGAAGGAGGAGAGTGTTCAACTCTTCCTTTTAAAAATGATTTTTTATCCCTGCGAAATGAATGACCTATAGGCAAAAATTGACGATGACAATCAAAAAATGAAGCTTGTCTTCCATCTTTTAAGTGAAATGCCTTACTTTTTCCCATACAACAAGGGCATGCCAAATGACCATGGGTGCTCCATCCAGACAACATTCCATAAGCTAGGAAGTCATTGATAGTCCACATAAGTGCAGCTCGCATTTGAAAATTTTGTTTCTTATAAGAGTCATAAGTCTCAACCCCATCAACCCATAATTGCTTCAATTCATCAATAAGAGGTTGTAAGTATAAGTCTATATTCTTTCCGGGGCTTTTTGGACCAGGAATGAGAAGACTTAAGAACATGTACGGGCTACTCATACACATTCCGGGTGGAAGATTGTATGGTGTAATGATTACTGGCCAACAAGAATAAGGATGGGTCATCTGCCCATATGGACTAAACCCATCAGCTGCAAGTCCAAGCCTAATATTTCGAGGCTCAGCTGCAAAGCCAGGATGGCATTGGTCAAACTTTTTCCATACCTCTCCATCACTTGGATGACTCATTACCCCAGGTTCTCGACGAGATTTCCAGTGCCATGTCATATTTTCAGCAGTCTTTGTTGACATATATAATCTTTGTAATCTCGGAGCTATAGGAAAATAACGTAGTACTTTATATGCAACATCTTTTTGCCTTCCACTGCCTCCTCTCTTAGGCTTATAACGTGGTTGACCACACTTTGGACAATCCACTTTATCTTTACTCCTTGTAATATAGGATACAACTTGTCTTGCATACATCTATCTTTTCATATCCTAGCCCAAGTTTTGCAACCATTTGTTTAGTCCTATAGTAATCGTTAGGTAACTTAGCATCTTCAGGTAAGAGCTCCTTCAGAAATAGCAAAATTTGGTTATAGCAATTGTCACTTATGTTAAACTCAGACTTAATGTTCAGTAGCCTGCAGACCGTTGACAACGTAGAATGATTAACACATCCATCAAATAATGGCTCTTCTGAAGCTTTTAGCATATCAAAAAAATCTTGAGCATTTCGATTAGGAGGTTGTTCTTCTTCACCATCAAAATTAAATCCATCACTTTCAAAGTTGAAACTATGACCAATTGCATCCAATACCATAGTGCGATACAGATTTTCTGTTGTTATCTCAGGACCTATTTCTTTTTCTGTATTGCTACTAGGTTGAGGTCTAGAAATTGGTACAAAAGGCTCCCCATGTGATTCCCATTGATAATAGTTAGGCATGCTTGTACAGATGTGCTTTAACATCATGAGGTTCAAGAAACCCGCTAATGTTTCTACATCTTGAACATGGACACCTTATACTCCCATTAGAAACGAAGTCATGTTGCATTAATGCAAACTCTACAAATCCCTGCACACCCTCTAGGAACTCAGTAGTGACTCCTTTTCTACTAGACACTAGTCTATCATACATCCATATACGATCAGCTCTAAAGGAACTCATGCTTCCTATCAAACAAACAATGACAAAATAGAAACACTATTTCAGTACTTTATAATATGTTAATTATTTCACCAATTTAAGCAGATTGATAGCACTAAATCTGGAAGAGTAAAGAGAAGAGAACTAGTAGAGGTTGCCTCTGTTTTTTATTAAACACATGTTTGTAAGTGGAGTTTATTTATTTTAAAAAATATATCACTTCAGCTTTGTTAGCTAGTAAACTTACAAAGGGCACATAAGCTTCTCCTCCCCCCCCCCCCCCCCCCCATCATATATTAAAAGTATAAGATTATATTAATTTCATTCTTCTTCACTTATCATGTTGCCCTCTTTGGAAATAATTTTACTTGGTTAACCATAGGAACAATATATCAGTTTAGATCCATTGACAATAAGAACATCTTATTTGTAATAAGGGAATCCACTATGCTAATACTCTTTCTGCTTTGACTTCATAATTGCCATCATAAGAAAATTAAGCAGCATGTGACTATTGATTCAGCTCGAAAGAATCACATGACCATACATATGTGAGGCCACAGTGGAAGACGGTATTCCAGTTACTTGCATAAAAGACTATCAAAAGCAACCCTTGCAGTTTACATCAATCAAAAAAGTCGCTACTCTACCTCAGTGTTGAGAATAAAATCATGGCATACACAATTTAAAAAAAAAGTATCGGATATGCAGGCTATTTTTTTCTCAAACCCAGAAATAGCTGTTCAACAAAAATATAAGGACAACAATTTAATAACCAACAGAAACCAAACAATACATATACGTAGAAGCATCTTATATCACATTATTGAAAGTTCAATTCTATAATAAGATAGGAAACATGAATTGTTGGGGGAATTGCTCTCTGTTAGTTCATAGTTAATGCTAAATTAAACGACGACAAGAATTCTTGGTGCTAGGAAGGTATTGATCACTCACGATAAATTAAACACTCACAAAAAGATCTATTTGCAGAGATGCTTTAAGTACCGGAGAAATTCTTACCAGAAGCTTACAAGCGGCAGCGATAGCAAGTTGTCTCCCTTCACTGAATTAGAAGATGATAGTTGAGGGTTTAGAGGGATGAAGAGACGTGAAAGAGTGCGTGTATGTTTAGCGGTTTTTGAGGATTTGAGATATAGAGTTCTATTAAAAAAATATTGCTGAAGATTTTAAGCGCCAACCCTACAAATTTAAGAAAAAGGTGACTTGAGATTTAACTAGTATTATTTAATAAGGACTTATTTTTAATTGCTATAAATTAGCTACACCTTTAGCTAGCTACTGGATTCTTTTACGATAATTATTATTTTAATTATACATAGAAAAATTATTTTAAATATGTGGGTTGTGGCCACACCAATTTTGATAANGTGGCACATCTCATAGTGTAGGAATCCTATTTATCTTTTTACTCAATTTTTTGATATTTTTCTTTCATTTTAATCATTTATTTTATTTTAAAATCCACATCCATAACTCCTCTTTATTGAGGGTTGTAACTCTTTAGCTCCATAACCCCCAATTGTTTAATGAGTTATAAATTGAATAATTTAAGGTTTTAATTGAAATTCCATAACTACACAAATAGTATTAAATCTAAACAAAATCACGCTCAATTACAACTCTTACTAAGAAGGAGACCGACAAAGTAACGGTTTCAACATTTATTGACAACCATTTCAATTTCTTTATATTTAAAAAGCACCTAATTCATCATAATGATTCCATAACGAGGTTTTTCTGTTACAAATTGAAATCGAATCGACTGTTAATGTCCAAAAGCAAAAAACAAAAAAGAAAGTGCTTCTCAGGGACAATATATATGTCCCCCATATTATTTTCTTTGTACATTGGTGATTGAAGAACAAAAATTGTATGAACATTGGATTAAAGGTTTTCAGATTGATCAAGAACCATAAATTTTACAAGCAGTCATGGATATTAGTCTTACTGCGTTTGAGAAACAGGGGGCAAGTGTCTCCTTGATATTCCTAAGGTTTTCAGGCTTTTACTTTTTAATTTAACCTTCATAAGCAAGTATTTCGCTAATGCAACTGATCTCAAAGCAAATAATTTCAAATAGAGTATATTACACACTTTCATTTTATGCTTCAACTTTAGTTGAATGATTTCTATGTTACACACTTTCATTGTATGCTTCACTTTTTGTTGAACTATTTCGTTACTATTATTATTCATGTCCTTTTATTTAGAAAAATGAGTATTTTCCATGATAATTATTGTTTGAGAGATGAGATAGCTCTACTTAGTTTTTATTCTCTCTTCTTTTTTTTTCTACTATTTTCTTCTTTTCCCTGCGTCGGATAAGACCCAAAGTTGCTTTGAGTGAAACGTATGTACCAGTATTCCCTTTACTGCAAAATCCTACATATGGTTGTTTCATATTATTTTCTATCTGTCATATTATATTAACTTATATTATATATTTTTATTGTTTGGATTATGCTCCCCCTACATATCAATTTTATACAAACAGTTCTATAGTGTTAAGATAGTAGAGTAAGAAACAAAATTTTGAGAATTTTGCAAAAAATTGGATTTTTTTTTTATTTGTCAATTAATAGTTATTATTAGACCAAATACTCCTCTCCTTCCCCATAAGGAACTTTTCCCTTGAAATAATGCTATACATATTGAGTATTAACTAGGGAACAGTTGAAGAACAAGAAAAAAAATATAAAAAAGGGTACCAAAAAAAAAAAAACAAGTAATTGTACTTGCCTATGATGAGTGCAGATTTATTTTCTTATATTTCTTTCTCTTTTTTATTTCGCAACAAGAAAAAAAATATAAAAAAAGGGTACAAAAAAAGAACAAACAAGTAATTGTACTTGCCTATGATGAGTGCAGACTTATTTTCTTATATTTCTTTCTCTTTTTTATTTCACATATCGTCTTCCTTTTTTTTTCCGGAAGAAATTCAAAAATAGTCTGATTTACAAGTGGTCATTCAAAAATAGGTACAGTTTCAAAAGTAATCGAAATTTAGTCACTTTTCATGTAAAGATAAATCTGAACGAAAATATTGTTCAAAATCCGAAAAAATACTTCGGTATAATATATCGGTTCAGCATAATATACTGGAGATTGGAGCACCGATGCTCCAATCTCCACTATATTATACTGGAACTTTCCGTGTGTTAGAGTTCCAGCATAATATGTTGGAAGTTCATACACATGTGCACCGATCTCCAGTATATAATGCTGGAACTTTCCGTGTTGCAGCAAAACAGTGGCTATTTTTCAATGACTTTGCAAACGCTGGCTATTTTTGAATGACCAGTTTGAAAATTGGTTAGCCCGTATTATTTTTACTTCTTTTTTTTAATAGCGGAAACTTTCAAAAATATTTTAAATAATTAAACTTAAATATGCATAAAACATAAATTAGATGAATATATTATTATTTCTGAAAATAATATTACAATTTTTATTGAAACTTCCTTTTCACTTTTTAGAAATAAAAGAGCTAATTTAATTTGGAAATACATATCAGCTTTACATATATTGTCTGAGGAATGCCCTCATAACCAACTACAACAATATGTATGCTGCTTGAAGTATAGAATCGCACTACGGATATCACTGAAAATATTTATTGATGATTTAACCAACTCAGAATTAATTTATCTATATATGTATATGTAAGAAATTATTTATCTCTTCTATCCCAACTGCATTTCCAGAAAAGATCATTCCAATTTATGATTGTATCTTATTACCGCGCGAAGCGCAAATAAATTCACTAGTACATATATAAATATTCGTAATTAAAGATTGGCAACAAAACATCCTTAGCTACTTTTTAGCTAGAGATTAGCAACAAAATATATTCCTAGCTAAAAGATAAAGTTCGGAAAAAATAATTAGCGCCAAAATAAAATTCCCTCTAAAATTTAGCTATGGATTAGCTAGGAGACTTTCCTTGCTAACATATAGCTAGGAATTTGCTACGAACTTTGTCCCTATCTAATCTATGATCTTTTGGAAAAATAAATTTAGCGCCAAATTAGTATTCCCGCTAAAAATTAGCTATAGATTGGCTTGGGAAAAACTCTAGCTGTATTTTAGCAAGGAATAGTCCCTAGCTAATTCCTATCTATATTATGACTAGATTCTCAATCGAAAATATTTGCAAGGAAATGTGTCTTTTCTAGCTAAATCCCTAGCTAAAGGTGTATATTAGCTCGGGATATGTGTATCCAAGCTAAATTCCATAGCTAATGTCCTGTTCTCTTGTAGTGGCGTTTGGATATAATAATTGTAAAATTCCAAAAAAAAAAATGTGAAAAAAATTTTCAATTGAAAATATGATATTTGAAAATTAAAGTTGTGTTTGGACATGAATATAATTTTGGGGTATTTTTAAATTTTTATAAGTGATCTGAGTGAAAATTTTGAAAAATAACTTTTTGGAGTTCTTCAAATTTTTGAAAAATTCCAAAATTCATCTTCAAGTCAAAATTTAAAATTTTATGGCCAAACACTCCTTTCGAAAAAAGTAAAAAAAAATTGTATGTCCAAACGAGCTCTTAATGTTGTAGCCGGCTTTATTTCTAAAACGTATTATTTTACGGTTTGACTAGATAAAATTTAATTTTATTATGGAGCATAGGAAGTGGCTTGGTCTTTCCTACTCCCCTTTTCCAATCATATTTGAGGAAGAAAAGATCTTTTTTAATTTTTTCCACTCAAATATTTGGACAACTCCACTGTGGATACGTTAAGTTTGTTGACCAAGACATGCAAGCTGCTGAAACGACTCTTTTCCTTCTTTATTGGGATTTTCGCTTGAACTGATGAATCTGCCTCGTGTCACCACTAATTTTATGTCACGACCCGACGGACTGGTAATAAGTAATAGCATGTTTGGCCAAACTTATTTTGAGATGTACTTTTGAAAAAAATGTTTTTGAAAAAAGTACTTTTGGAGAGAATCAGTTTGTATTTGGCTAATCAGTCTGAAAAACACTTTTGAGAAATAATTTGTGTTTGACCAAGCTTTTTAGAAAGTGTTTTTAAGTGTCAAATTACGAATAAGGACATAAATATATTTACTTAATAATTAATATTATAAGTAAATAAATAATATCAAAATTTTGTTATTACATGCAATAATTTAAAAAAAATATTCATTTTATTTAAGTAAAATATGAAAATAAAATTAAAAAGTACTTAATTCTTTTAATATAAATTAAATATATTAAAATTCATTCAACAAATATAAAAGCATTCACCTCTAAAGTCACTATATATTAGAAAGTTTCCTAAAAATAAGAAGAAATATTTATAAATTAATATCCTAAGTATTAGGTTTAAGGGTTATTTTGGTATATACTATATTTTGTTAAGGGTATTTTAGGTAAGAAGAAAAGCCAAAACTGCTTCTGCTTCTGCTTTTGGAAAGAAGCTACTTTTTTCTGCTTCTCTGTAACTACTTCTGCTTTTTCCCAAAAGCACTTTTTTCGCAAATAAGCTTGGCCAAACACCTCAAATTAGGAAAAAAAGTGCTTTTGGAAAAAAAATAAAAATATTTTTTTTTGTCTTGAGAATCTTGGCCAAACAGGCTATAAGTCTAGACTACTCAGCAAGCCTAACACTTTCTTTATGTCAAAATTTCAGCGGAGTCTTATCCGTACTAAGAGAAAATCCAAAAATTTTAAGCTTGTCATCAAATTCAAACTCGACACACCATAGCCATAATAATACTAAAGTACAAACTCTAGAAAATATCAACAATAACAAGCCACAGGCTTTAACAACAACTTATAAGTTTCAAGCAACTCTATTACTCCAGGCGGGATGCACATGGGTAATACCGGTGTCATATCCACTGCTTCGTCGGAATTTTTTTAAAAATATTTTTGTAAAAAATAGAGCAATATATTATAGTGACACCGCTTCCTAGCAAATAATACTTTTTGATCGACTGGTCAAGCTCATATTTGGGCTTGTGAAGGTCGTAGGTTTGAGGTTGGACCTAAATATTCTATTTTTTGAACATCTTTAAGTGAGCATTGATTGAACCTATACCTCCCTTTAGAATAATATTCAACCAACCCATTGGGCCAAGGCTTTCAAC